AATTTTGACTTCTTCGGAACTTTGTAAATTTCGTGCTATTTCATAATTATAAAGATAACATCTAGACGAGGTCTATTGACACGGTAAAGAAGTTCATGTAGGTGAAACAATTATGAACTGCTGCATTTCCCTAGAGGGTATTATATATACATACTTAAACACATCTCTAGTTGCATCTTATGCAACCGCCTTTGCTGCATCACTACAGCCTTCTAATGAGTATAGCGGCACAGCGATCAGTGTTGCCAATGTGATTAATTGCAACACATTAATCGCTTTACTGTTTGCCTTCTTTGAGTGCCGCCGCATGAGTAGTCGAATTTTCGGTACATTTCTGATGCGGTTGCAGTGCCTCCTCAGTAGCTAAAATGCTAGCAATTTAGTTATATAATGAAGAATTCAGTGACTTGAAGTTTTTCAATATCAAATAAGAAAATTTAAATTGGAACAAGATTTAAGGTGGATTTAAAAAAAAATGAGAGAAAAAGCAGTAAATTCTTGGCTCGAATTTTAATTTTGTATAGCGTTAATAATTGCTTTGCTGTGGTAATTAGAAATAAATTACTTACGGTGTTCAAGTTCGGAGCTTATCAATAAATATATGGAGAGGTAGTGAAACTTTGACCGGGGTAATCACAATAACAAAATTTGATATTCTGGATAATGTTAACATATTTGGATAGAGGAGGATAAAAGAGAACTTTACTTTATAGATAATCCAAAATTTTCGAGATCTTTTTTGTTCAAACAATTTTTTCAATACAGAAGTAATAGATTCCGTTCTAATTTAATCTGAAGGCGGTTGCAATAGTGTCTTTGCTATATTTATTAAACAAAATATTAGGAAAAGTAAAAAGTTCGTTCGGTTTTTATTGATTTTTCAAAAGATGATAACTTTGTGTACATTTGTCCGATTTAAGTCAAATATGCGCCGTTTTGTTCGTAAACTTGTTGCCAACGAGATACCAACTTCATTATACCCCTCTCGTAGAAGACTGCGTCCCTATTGCCAAAAAACTCGGAGAGCCAATTTTCACAGGCCTCTCTTGAGGCCAACTTCTCACCATTAAGCGCGTTCGCCATGGACAGGAAAAGATGATAATCACTTGGTGCCAAGTCCGGACTATAAGGTGGGTGCATTAGAACCTCCCATCCGAGCTCCAGGAGCTTCTGGCGAGTCACCAAAGACGTGTGTGGCCTGGCGTGGTCCTGATGGAACACAATTCGGCCTCTGTTGATCAAAGATGGCCTCTGCTGGATGAGTGCTGCCTTCAAGCGGTCCAGTTGTTGGCAGTAGAGGGCCGAATTGAGCGTTTGGTCATAGGGAAGCAGCTCGTAGTAGATGATTCCTTGCCGATCCGAACAAACACACAGCGTTTGCGCTCGATGTTGTCATAAGTGACCCATTTTTCATCGCCAGTCACAATCCACTTCAGAAACGGGTCGATTTTGTTGCGATTCTGCAGCGATTTGCAGATGGAAATTCGGTCTATCATGTTTTTTGCGTTAGTTCGTGTGACACCCAAACATCGAGCTCCTTTTTGAATCCAAGGTTATGCAACTGGTTCCAAACGGTTTTCTGGCTTATCTTTAGTTCCTCAGCAATTAAATAAGCGCTCACGTGACGGTCTGTTTACACTATTATTTTATTTAATAGGCTATTTTTCCAACTTATGTAAGGGCGTTGAGTGAGTAATTGCTTGTTGAACAAAAGATAACAATAAAACGGTGGCTAAGAGGCCGCGTTTCCACTTTTGTGGTGGCTTAGGTCGTAAGCGCGAAGAAGTTAAGCTTATTCCGAATACGAGCATATAAGTTCGAATCCTAAAACTGTTGTAAATTATATTTAATTAAATTTTTTTTAATTTATTAATTGGAGTCTAAGCATATCATAATTCAATTTCTTTAATAGCATATTTTACTCCCTGATAAATTTAAAATATATCAGGAAAATAGTTATATATTATAATAATGTTTAGCTTTATTGAATATTTCCTTATTATGCGTATTTACACAAATGTGATAATCACACATACATTCTTAAATACACGTAGGCTGATGCTTGCTTTTTCTTACCCCGCACAAGCAATGACTTTTGTACACACTTTTTGCTTTTTGCGAGTTGAACGATCGTAGGCAAGGAGGTATTGAGGCGCACCGCCACATAATTATTTCAGATATAAGTAGATTTTATTTATCGAATTTAGTTTAAAAACGATTATAGGTATGAATATATGTGTATTTATATATATATATAATATATATTATATTACGAAAATAATTCATAAATGCATCAGAATTTTTCAATACAAATTAAGCAACATAATAATATACTAAGAGTCCTCAGTTAGAACGCCTCTGTGTATAGTGGCAAGCCAACGAAATAACGGCGAGTTCGCGCAGACATTGTGTTGTTGAAAAAAACCAAATGACGACTTTGTCCACAAAAATACACATACAAATTGTGGGAATCGTTGCGGAGTTGACAAAATTTGTTTCAATCGACAATTTTACGACAATGTCGATCGGCTATGTTGTCTCGTTTGTCCTTTTTGCAGGGCTTTGCTGTTGAAAGTTTACTTATGCTCTTTTGAAATATTGCGATTACCAATTGGGCTGCATTTTCATAGCGTCGTATTTAGATAAAATGGTCTAAATCGAAAAACTATGAAACAATGATAATAAGTAAACATATAAAATGCCATATCTAACAAAATTAAGATATAAGTACATAAGTCTGAATTTTGGTGTAGGAGGTTGCAGTAGCAAGGGGCATCTGTGTTCTGAATTTTTTTTTTAAGTGGGAGTAGCCACACCCTCCAATAAGTTTAATGTACATATCTACTAAACCTTTCAAGATATATCACCAAAATTTGCTTATGACGAATCCCTTAAGAACTCCTACCGACAGTGTGAAAATGGTTGAAATCGGATTATTATTCCGCCCGATTTCTATACAACGGTTTTGTTAAAAACTACTAAAAGCGAGATAAATTAGTAACTAAATGCTTTAAAGACATAAAAAAACCCGAGATGGTGCAAGAGGGCTTTATAGAAGCCGATGTCAAATTTGGATGATGGGCGTGGCACCGCTCACATTTAGGATGATTTGGATTTAACATCGTATCTCTGTATCTATATAATTGGTGATTGCATCTTTAATAACATCGTGGTCGATCTGGTCCGCCCGTTTTTCACCGCACCTTAATTTTGTGTGAAGAGTCTTCGAGTTTTTAATGATCCTCGAAGATTTCAGAATTTTCCATGGCATTATTAGCAAAGCTTACTAGCAGAGCACTACTGTAAGGACTACATCTTGGCGTTGACAATGTTTCCAACAAAGTGTGCTTAACGACGGCTATGTAATCGGTGGGGTTAATGCCTAACCAGTAAATATCATATTTACGGAAGCAGTGATCCCATAGAGGGTAATAACACGGCGAGCTTATTGCACTCTGTGTTGGGTAAACTGAATAAGCATTTGCTTTCCTTATCCCTTTCGGACTTTTTGTGAGTATTTACACTTGTAAATATAATTACTTTGATTTCAATAATCTTTGCTCTCTTTCAACCTTTTTTTATGGGAAGCAGTGTTGTTAATCATATAAAACATTCACATTCAACATTCATAGGAAGCGTTGAGCATGATATTTTTATACCCAATCGATTGATAAAGTAAGACAATTTATAAGCGCTATCAGCAGTTGCAAATACGATTATCACGCTTATACGAGTCGAAACGAAAATGTTTATTATACTCTCGCAACCTGTTGCTACAGAGTATAATAGTTTTGTTCACCTAACGGTTGTTTGTATCACCTAAAATTAATCGAGTTAGATATAGGGTTATATATATATAAATGATCAGGATGAAGAGACGAGTTGAAATCCGGGTGACTGTCTGTCCGTCCGTCCGTCTGTCCGTCCGTCTGTCCGTCCGTCTGTCCGTCTGTCCGTCCGTCCGTGCAAGCTCTAACTTGAGTAAAAATTGAGATATCTTTATGAAACTTGGTAGACATGTTTCATGGTACCGTGAGACGGTTGGTATTGCAGATGGGCGTAATCGGACCACTGCCACGCCCACAAAACGCCATTAATCAAAAACAAATAACTTGCCATAACTAAGCTCCGCAATAAGATACAAGACTGTTATTTGGTACACAGGATCACATTAAGGAGGGGCATCTGCAGTTACAACTTTTTTTGAAAAGTGGGCGTGGTCCCGCCTCTAATAGGTTTAATGTGCATATCTCCTAAACCGCTAATGCTATAATAACCAAATTCACTGGAAGCAAATGTTTTTAGCACTTCTATTGACGGTGTGAAAATAGTTGAAATCGGGTTGCAACTCCGCCCACTCCCCATATAACGGTACTGTTAAATACTACTAAAAGCGCGATAAATCAAGCACTAAACACGCCAGAGACATTAAATTTTATCTCTGAGATGGTATATAGGAACCGCGTTCAAAATTAGACAGTGGGCGTGGCACAGCCCACTTTTAGGTGAAAACCCATATCTTGAGATCTGCTTAACCGATTTCAACCAAATTCGGTGCATAACGTTCTTTTCATGTTTCTATGTCATAGTGCGAAAATGGGCGAAATCGGATTACAACCACGCCTATTTTCCATATGACACCATTTTAAATACCACTTGATTCTTTCACTTTCCACTATGCAAATCAAGCAACAATGATTATATCGGCGTAAAACTTTGCGTGAATAATACGTTTAAAGTATGCCACCTTGTGACCAAAAATTTTCTAAATCGAACCAAAACTGTTCAAGCCCCTAAGTACTAAATATGTGGACCCCAGTGCCTATAGTTGACCTTCTACCGAAAATATCAGTCAATCCACAAAGAAATCTCAAACGAGTATACCATTTGACTTTGCGAGAGTATAAAATGTTCGGTTACATCCGAACTTAGCCCTTCCTTACTTGTTTTTTTTTTATTTTATTCCCTTTTATATTTAACTTTACAATAGACGATTGAGGCAGCAAGACAGGCTCTTTATAAAATTTAAAACATTTAATTACAGTTATATCCTTGTTAGGTATTCAAGAAAAATTTTCAGGGTCGTAAATATATTTCCTTGAGTTTCGCGTATGGAATATGGGTTTAATTGGACTTACCATAAGCTGTCATTACATTCAAATATTATACGAGCAGAGTTTCCGTCTCAGGTTAGTTCTACCATGTTTATAGGCATTGAAAATATAACTATACAAATTTTGAGCCTTGATTTTGTTTCTGATTCTTGGTGAAATATAATGTAGCCTATAGAGTAAAAGATTATACACACTTCGTTGGGAAAAGCAAAAATAATACCAAGGAATGACTGATAAAGCGTGCGCTAATAAGTTAATAAGCAAAAAGTAGTTGAAATAAACTAGTGAAAAATTTAAAACGGCATTCGTTTAAGATGAAAATAAAGTTTAATTAACTTAGGATTAAATACTACAGTTACTTCACGTGACCTATGTAGTATGTGACCTTTTCCACAAATCGGTTAAAATATCAGCAGTTCGCAATCATTCTAAGGTTGGTAGGCTACAGTTCTTGATGGAGTGTAATCTGATTACAACCACTGGAAATCTTGATTATTTAAATTTAACTTTATGATAATAATATATTTTTCATTGATGTTTTATACCTCAATATGATAAAAAAGAATTGTTCCGTCGAATATCTATCTACAATCAACTACTCGACATTAAATAACACAAATCCCATTTGTATTTACCAAAAAGTAATTCGAAAATTGTGCATCCCTGTTACGTAACCCATTAATAGCATTCTCAGATAAGTAATGAGAATAAAAGCTCAAGTGCATTGATCTTGATATGAACTTTTAATTGCAAATCTAGGTTGGGCGCAGTGTATATGCAAATTCACTCGTTAGTTCCTTATCGACTATACCTATGGAAGCTTACTTGCAACTAATACTCGGGTGTATTGCAAATAAACTTGTAAGCACATTTTTAAAAAATAATAAAAACCGACATAAAGAATTGCGTATTAAAAGTGAATAGTAAGTACTGAGTGATTTCTGCATAAAAAAATACCTCCAGCTATTAAACTGGAAATAGTTTAGAATATTATACCAATGCGAAATTGGGTTTCGCTTAAATAGTATTAAAAAATTTGAGGCAGTTATTGCAAGAAAAAAAAAGTCGGAATAATACTGCGCTTCAGTGGCTAATACATCCATTAGAGGAAAAATTAGTAGTGTAGCATGTATAGAAACGTGGAATATACAATAGAATTCCTTCGGAAATGGTTCGAAACTTGGTGGTATATTAGAAGAACTTAAAAAAACATAAACTAATAATTCGCAGGAATTAGCTTTGTCAATTGCTGAAGTATTTTGGAGAATGGTTGGAGTATACACTGCAATATTTTAATTTCATGCTGAGATGGGTATATGCTTGGCATATATGACATACTCGAAATCTCCTCTCTTGGTCAAAGAGAATATATCGAAGTATACTGTTCTATGTGTGCACATACTTAGGTTTCAACGAGTTGATTGAGTGTTGCGGTAACAATACATCAATATTATACAATAATACGGCTCATCATTTAGTCTTGATTGAGGCAGCAAATTTTCTTTTAAGTACAAATCTCAAATTTACAGGAATTATGCTGTTATAAAATTATCTGCTTAGAGTTTGAGAAATCAATAATCGAAGCTAGTAGGTTTTAACTCATTATAAAATAGTTTGCCATTTTAAATTGCACCATGTCGACGTCAGGGCTTATAACTTAAATGCGTCGCTCCTGAGATAGCTTTCATTTATGCAATTTAAATAATAGAGAAACAAAGAAAAATATAAGGGATTATGGTACACTTTGGCATAAAATAGGTAGGTAGGTAGAGTGGCTGTCTTACGACGCACCTAGGCCTATAGGAGGCCCATTGTGATATCACCGGGACTAATGCTCCCTCACTCTATCGTCTCCTCTCTGAACCACCCTGTGCTCCTGATGAAGTTCATCAGTACAAATAATTTTATATTAGCAACTTCTGATACGTCGTCAATGAATCCACGACCGATAGTTGCGATTCTTTTCCTGTATAGAGCTTTACATTCGCATAGAAGATGCTTTTCCTCTTCTTCTACTTCTTGACAGTTTCTACAATAGTCGTTGTATGGTACACCTAGCCTACAGACATGTACACCAATTAGACAGTGACCTGTTAGTATTCCTATCAGAGTTCTTATATCATTCCTTTTAAATTTTAGTAGTCGGTTTGTGCGACTCACGCTCCATTCCTGCCACGTTAGTCTGCTGGTTCAGCAGGTTATTGATTGTATCCACCGAGACTCTGCTATATTTATAGCATGTTCGCTGATTAAGTGTTTGCAAGTTGCCAGGGCCATAAAAATACCCTCTTTCTCAGGGGTTAATTGTAACGTTATGCCTGCTCTGGCTAGTTCATCTGCTTCGCAGTTACCAGGGATATCACTATGCCCTGGAGCCCATTGTTGGTTTATCGTGAAGAAGGATGTTAGATCCTCTAATAGATCAAGACATTCTTTCACTATCTTTGATAAGACCATAGGAGACTTGAGTGATTTCAAGGCCGCTTGGCTATCCGTATATTTATATATGCTCCTTGTTGTGAGCGCACTTTTTGTCAATACAACAAGGCTTTCTTTGATTGCTGTGATCTCCGCCTTTAAAACACTGCAGAGGTCTGGTAAGCGGACGGCGATTTTGGTGTCTAAAGTTTCAAGGAAGACACCACCTCCCACTCGATTATCCAGTTTGGATCCATCCGTGTAGATGCTAATTCCTGTATTCTTGTCCCCCTCGACCTTTTTCCACTCCTCTCTTGAGGTGTACCTCTTTGAACAGATCTGCACATCGTTGACGCTCCCAGCGTTGAAATTATTGACCTGCTCGTGAGCATCTGTTCAATTAATTTTCTGAGAGGTTCAGAGATGTCCAGATCCTTAAGCGCACTCAGTATGGCCCTAGGCTGGATATTATTGAAGGCTCCTTCTATATGTAAGAAGGCAAATAGAGTGTATTCTTTAACTTCCAGAGATTTTTCGATCTCCGCCACCACAGAGCTTAGTGCTGTTTCTGTGGATTTTCCTTTAGAATACGCATGCTGCGAACCAGCCATCTTTTCTGATTTCAGTTTGTGTATATGTAATTCTATTAGTCTTTCCAGCGTTTTTAGAAGGAATTAGGAGAGGCTAATTGGCCTGAAGTCCTTTGGACTTGTATGCGAGCTTTTGCCTGCCTTTGGTATGTATATTACCTTGACTTCCCTCCAAAGCGCAGGGATATAGTTTAATTGCAGCGCCCCCTTAAGAATGGCAATTAGCCAATTCATTATGTAATTCTACGACTGCTGCAATTGAGCCGGGAATAGACCCTCTGATCCCGGCGACTTGAAGGGCTCAAAGCTATTTATTGCCCAGCGTACGTTGCTTTCTGATACTATGTTTATAAGTGTGGAGTCCATTTCTGCTCCACTGTTTTATTCAGCAGTATGGCTTTCAGAGTTGCCTGGGAAGTGGGTATCCATTAGTAGCCCCAGGGATTCTTCACTGGATACCGTCCAACTCCGGTCTGGCTTCTGAAGATAACCGATACTATGCACCGATTGTGGCATCATTTTCCTAAGTCGAGACGCTTCCGCCGTGTTCTCGATATCATTACAAAAAGATTTCCATGAATTTCTTTTTGCTCTCCTAACTTCCTTTTTGTATGACCTAAGGAGGTTGTAATAATAATCCCAGTCTGACTCGCCTTGGGATTGCTTAGCTAAATTGAACTGCTTTCTGCATTCTTTCTGTACCTTTTTAAGTTCTAGAGACCACCAGGGGGGCCTTATTCTACCCCTACTTCGTGTTATTGGACGAGCCACTTCTAATGCTTGCCGGCACGATTCCGTGAGTCGATTAACGAGGATATCTAGAGCCTCCTTGCTATTGGGCTGAAACGGTAGAATCATAGGGTTACGTTTTTCCAGCTCTTGCATGTGCATCTGCCAGTTCGTTTTCCTATAATTCCTAAACTTAATACCTCTATCGGCCCTTTCCTCTATTGTATTCATCAATTAGTTCTTCTGACACAAGTGTGATATCCAGCACTTCTTGTCGGTTTATTGTAATAAATGTTGGCGTGCTTCCCTTATTACACACCAGTAACTTAGTGCCTAGTAGGTAATTAAAGAAGCACTCACCTCTGTCATTGACATCTGTGCTGCCCCAGATTGTGTGATGCGCCTTTGAGTCGCATCCAAGTATCGTCATGCACTTGGATGGCTCGCTATCCCGTACCACCTCTTTTACCATCAGAGGTGGCACCAGCTCTTGCTCGTATGGCATATAGCACGACACCAGCCGGTAACTGCTTGTGCCCGTTTCCCAGCTTACTGCTGCTGTGTCGTTGTTGCTGTAATTATGTAATATAAAAACATTAAGGTTTTTCTTTGCCATTATGCAGGCTCTGATTTTACCTTCACAATAAGCCATCAGTAACTTATAGTTCGGCGTCCTCAGTCCGCAAATACGCCCTCCATTAATCCATGGCTCCTGAATGAGGACAAATTCATGCTGTTCCATTGCCACGCGGTTAATTAGGGCTGCTGAAGCTAGTTTGCTATGATGAAGATTAATTTGTAGAGGACGCATTAGCTATTGTTATATCTGCGTCTTCCTAAGAGTCGCTTAAAAGCTCTTTCTCAGTATACAAGCTTGAAAGTCTGGCAGAAAGCTCAGACCCGGAAGAAGAACACTCACCTCGCTCCATACTTTCCGCGTCGCTCGAGGACTCCATAGGATCTTCCTCTACTTCGCATATCTCTTTCTCCGATGCCAGATGGTCTGCAGCATCGGCGTCCGACTTGTGGAACGTTATCCTCACTTTCGTGAACCCGTAATTTATCTCCCCGCCACTTTTCGCCAGCGGTTCGATGGATTCTTTCGTTAATAACAGCTGAATCTGCATCGTGGCCCTTTTGGTCTCCACGCCAGTTCTGCTACGCTGTTCTCAAATGTCTTGACATACTTCCACTCTTCCATGGGTAGGCTGGGGTTGCAGGCTCTTATGAGCTGGATTCATACCCTTGCCCTTGGTCTGGATGGTATGTCCTTTTTGTCCACTGCTACCAATTTTGCCCCAGGGTATACCTCTCCCACCTTGGCTATAGCAGCTTTGTATAGAGCGACCGATCTCTCGTCGTCGCAAGCAATCTGCTCATCTGGCCCTGGTACTAACCGGCATCTGTTCATGACGGTGGTGGACCCGGATTGCTTAATCCAGCGCCACATTTGTCAGCACAGCCTGCACCTATTTCCATTGGGCTCTGGGGATTCTTCCTTCGGGATCTCCCTCATCCAGACCGCCAATGACAATTCGGTTCCGGGCCACTTCGGCAAATGATTTTGCGGGCGTTACGCCCTTTGTCTTCGGCCTCTTGGCTGACGGCTTTGCCTCTTCAGCTGACTTCTTCTTTACCGGCGGCTCCAGCTTGAAATTGAGTATGACTGCTGTCGCGCAGTCAATCGATGCTTGGAGCTCCTTCGTTAGCTCCTCTTTCGTTGGCGGCTTTAACTCTACCAACCTTAGTAGGTATGCGGCGCGTCGGCTCTCCGCATACTTTGCCTTTGGCGGGTTCTGAATGTTAAATGCAGGCCACTCCCTGGCAGATGCATTACCAGCAGCAGCCCCTTTGGCATCTCCTCTCTCCCCCTGCTTCTCAGCCGTGTTTTGGCTGCAGGGTTTGGGTCTGGATGCCTCCGGCGTTACCACTTTCTGTGGGCCAGCTTTAGCTTTTGCCTCTTTACTAGTGCTTGCCTTATCTTCTGGACCAAGCTTCGCTCCTCTTGATGTCTGTTGCCGAGCTCGCTCCAAACGCTGCTCTTTTTTGGGAGCAACTAGCCCCTCCGGCTTTTTTTTCTGGAGATCCGGGCTCTCTCCGATTTTTGTTTTGTGTTTGTTTATTTATGTTTCGGTTCATTGATGGCCCCACGAGTGTGGGGGAACGTATGTCCGCTTGCGCATAGCCCCCGTTGCGCAAGAAAGACTTTCTTATTACGGAGGGCGCCAGGTATCAGGGGCATAAAATATACTCTTCTAAAAATTTGTATGCCTTATAATTCTCTTAATTTGGAAATTAGTCCAAAGTCTCTCTATTGCACCGTAATTAAAGATCAAACAATGCCGCTGTCGTGTTACTTGGTTCGGTGCTCACCATTTTAAAATAATGGAACACTTTCTTCTTGAACAGGCAAAGAAAGTTCTTCGAGTATAGTGTCTCCAGAAAAAGCTGCTAATAAATTCCTTCCGTTTTTCGGAATCGACTTAAAACTTATATACTTTATACCACTATATAAGCTAATTTTGTTTTGACATTTTTTAGAAAATGTTGCATATCGCCCCAAAGCAAACTATACCCGATGATCCAATACGATTTACAAAAAGGCGGGAAATAATTAAAGTGTCTACTGATGGCGATTTTATACCCCTCAAGTGGAAGTGGGCTGAAACTTGGTTCACAGCGCCCCTTATATTCAAGGATATATTTACGCGGACTTACGAATTCGAAGTGAGAAATGATGATGTCTTCATAGTTACATTTCCGAAATGTGGAACAACTTGGATGCAGGAAGCCGCTTGGTTACTACTAAATAACTTGGACTATGAGGAGGCGAGTAGAACACATTTGTTTAAGCGCAGCGTTTACATGGAGTAAGGAAATTTTTGTGTATCTTATTGACCACATTTGTATCAAATTTCACCATATTTCCAGCATCAGTATGTTATATGATACAAGGTACGAGGACAGCATAGCATTGGCTGCACAGCTCAAATCGCCACGATGCATCAAATCTCATTTCCCACCGCATTTATTGCCGCGCCAAATTTGGAAAAAGAAGGTAAAGGTGAGTATAGCGCATTTTCATCAAAACAGTTGGTAATATTAACTTGTATACATATGTACATACGTCCCGTGTTAGTTGATTTACTGTGCTCGCAATCCGAAAGACGTTTTGACATCCTTCAGCCACTTTATACGCGGCAAGGGTGCCTATCAAGGCAATCCGGAGGACTTTCTTGACGACTTCTTAAATGCTAATATAACTTATACACCTTTCTGGCCTCACGTTTTTACCATGTGGCAAATGCGCACCGAGCCTAATGTCTTTTTCGCCACTTTTGAGGAAATGAAACGCAATCTGCGGGGTGTTTTGGAGCGTTTAAATGTGTTTTTGGAGAAACCCACTTTGACTGAAGCGCAGATGGAGAAGCTATTGAAGCACCTGTCATTCGAAAACATGAAAGGTAAATAAGTGCTATGTGTTTTTGTGTGGATCATAGACGCATATAAGAAATTCCGTTAACACATCCGCAGCAAATCATCAAACGAATCCAACAGAACTAATTAAAAGTTCTGGCCAAAGGACTGTAGCTACTGACTTCGAGTAAGTACAGCGAGAAAAAATTATAATACAACTATTTTATAAAGTTTTTTTCAATTTTGTTGCAGATTTATGCGTCGTGGCATAGTTGGCAGCTACAAAGATGAATTGCCTGAGAGAGATCAGCGGCGCATTAATGAATGGTCTGAGCAATTCCTTAACCAATTTAACGTTAGTGAAGTCGATATTTTTGGCGATACCTAACGACTCAATAAGAGCCCATAGAAAATGTAAAAAGAAGAACAAAGGGAGGAGGAAAAACGATGGACCCGGTTTTAACTTCTTAGGAATCGTACAGTTTGTGTTGTGGTTCCTCAAAGGAACTCAGTCTCATTCATATTATATGGTTTTATTTTAAATATAAATATACTTTATTATATTAAACATAATATATATACCCAAATTCTTTAAATATTACGTACGGTTTCACCCATTTTTTAAAAACATCAGCGGCGCATTATTTAGTCGAACCAGCAATTCCTTAACAAATTTAATGTTAGTGAGGCCGATATTTGGCAATGGGGCACGTTGAAGAGAAAAGAAAAACAGTGAAACCGGCTATGGCTCTAGCTCTTAGCTCCTCATTTTTTAATTAAGGTTTTTTAAAGAAACTCAGTGCCGTTTTAATTTAAAATATATTATACATACGTACATATATATACAATTAATACCGGTCAAATATTACCAGCACAAATATTTGCAATTTAAAAATATAATGCATTTTTCATTTGGCATTTTAATATAATAATAACAATATTACTTTTATACTCTTGCAAAATTTTGCAGTAAGCAGTTTTAGGATTTTACCGCAACTTTGAGTGATGAATTGCCCTTTGTCCAATTTTGAACCGATTTATGTACATATATGCTGGCCTTCTGAGTCCATATCCACAAATTTTATATTTTAGTAGTTCAATTGACATTTTCACAATTTGCTTTGCTGAAAGAAATACCGCTATCTTGAAAGTAAATCATCTGCTTTCCCCATCTTTTCGGGCTGTTTATTTAATTTGATTTCAGCAAACATAATTCTTTCTTATACTTGTATACATTTATTTAAAAAAAATTTTTGGTTTACCTCATAGTTTGTTTTATAATACGACACATTTGCCAGCATAAAAATGCCTAAAAGCACGCAAGCTTTACACAGGGCTTTCTAATATATAATATAAAACATTGAAAGCTTTTAGCTTATTCACCACACTTTGATCGTCGCATATTTAAGACGTTTAGCCACACAAGTATTTATTTTAAAATCGGCCTTCCTAAAATGCTTAGAATACTTAAGTAGCGCTGCTTTGTAAATATCTCAAGCTGAAACAACATATTTTAGGCTCGAAATAAGTATCTTAAGATAAGCACAAGCAGTTGCTTGAGAGCATTGCTGGCATAATGTACGTCAAATTATCAGTTTTACACAGAAAACTCCGGAGAAAACGAATACTTTTTGAAGTTTTCTTGATTTGCATTATTTTGATTACTACTCACCAGCTTTACACCCATCGAAATGGAGCCGAAGAAACTCAGCGGAAGGCAGATAAGGGAGGGCTTGCAGAGTGGCGGGATTGGCACGACTATGGCGCTATAGCACGTGAGGCCCTGCGCGAGGGAATAGGTGAGCAAGGTCGGCCGGCAGCTTTGCCAAGTGGCTATGACAAGGAGGTAGCCGCAGCAAGTTGGCTTGTTTACGGTTTCAACGCTTTGCTATCTGAAAAAATTTCATTTGAGCGAGCGGTGCCCGATTTCCGTCACTTGCGGTGAGTACATTAGTCATAGTAGTCTTAATTAAGCAATACTCGTATCGTAAAAAGCTTATTACTTTTCTTGTGCACCAGTTGTCGCAGCATGACCTACCACAAAGAGCTACCCAGTACGAGTATAATTATAGTTCATCGCAACGAACACCCATCGGTGCTACAGCGCACCCTTCACAGTCTTTGGAACCGGACACCATACGAGCTATTACACGAACTCATTTTAGTGGACGATTTTAGCACATCGCCACTCTTTGAGGTCTCGCTTGAGCAGAAATTGTTGGCGAAATTTGGTGCGAAACTGAAAATATTGAAACTAACGGAACATCAGGGGTTAATAAGAGCGCGTGTTGCCGGCGCACGTATGGCGACCGGGGAAGCATTGGTATTTCTTGACACACATGTAGAGGCCACGCAAAATTGGTTGCCGCCCTTGTTGCAACCGATTGTCAACGATCCATACACTAGTACCACGCCGAATATTGACATAATTGATTACGACAACTTCGAGTATATAGAAGGAACACCTGCACGTGGTGGATTCGATTGGAATTTTGTTTACGTAGAATTACCGCTGTTGCCTGAGGAGCAGGCGGCACTTCCAGCACCGCATAATAATCCAATAATGAATGGTGGGCTCTTTGCCATAGGTGCGAAGTTCTTCTGGCATTTAGGCGCTTACGACGTGGGCTTGGAAGTATGGGGAGGTGAGCAATTCGAGCTCAGTTTTAAGATCTGGATGTGCGGCGGTCGTTTATTGGAAGTGCCCTGTTCGCGGCTTGGTCATCTCTACCGTGACCCAAAATTTAATGTCAAATACACTAATGGTACAGATGATTATCAGGGGAAGGTATACAACACACATTTTGTATTGCATAGTTTTAATGCTTCATATTTCACCATCACAGAATTTCAAGCGTGTCGCATCAGTTTGGTTGGATGAATACCAAGAGGTACTTTATAAGCATAATCCAGAACTGCTCCGAATTAAAGTCGGTGATATAAGCGCAAGACGCGCCTTACGAGAAAGGCTTCAATGTAAGCCCTTTAAGTGGTTTCTCGAAACAGTAGCGCCAGATTTTGTAAGGATGTATCCACCATTCGCGCCACCTGATTATGCATCTGGTGCTTTACAGAGCGTTGCCGTGCCCCAACTTTGCTTGGATTCAATTCAGCTTCCAGTAGAGCATCATATAGGTGATCTACGACCCTGCTCACCAAATCTTCAACAGCCAGTTGACTCACAAAATTGGCAGCTCACTTTCCATCGTGATCTGCGGCAGGCCAACGAGAATTGTCTGGATGTTCAATCTAAGGAACCGAATGCTTCCATTTGGCTATGGCCATGCCATTACGAAGGCGGTAATCAGTTTTGGTATTATGACCACCAATCACAGTTATTGATGCAAGGCGAGCCTTGGACGGAGCGCAGGTGCTTGGAGGCGAATGTTAATACCCGAAGGTCATATATGAATATCTGTGATTCCAATAATGTAAATATGAAATGGAACTTTGGTTTAGTGAACCAGTCTTTGCTAGATAACTTTTTTAAGGGATTACAAGCAAATGTTGAAATAAAATAGTAAAATCGTCAGTGATTCAGTAAATAGATATGTATGTAGGAGTAAGTAAAAATATATGGAGTTCATTTTAGAGATTTCATCACAGTTACCAACTAAAGAGAAAAGACATTGCCTTATATGTGATGAAGTATTTGTGGTAGCAATGAATGATGATGACATTGCCATGCCCTTTATATATATTATTTAATTAATAGTGAATAATGCTGCATTTAAGTGCAAAAATGACTTTTGAGTAGTGTGCCAAGACGTATTGACCGGACGTAGGTCGCGCATTATTTTTTTTAATAACCCAACGATTACTCTCCTCCCGCCCAAACGACGCGAGGGGCGCAATCCGCATACGTGCGGAATTAGCCGAGTCAGAAAAGGCAAGAGAGTTTTTTAAGTGTTGAGATCTAAAACTGCTCAGCTACAGAAACAAAAATTTCAACAGCTAAGATCTAAAGTTACCATATAGTAAATTGTTACATTTTCACTTATTAACAGAAAACAATAAAGTCTTTTTAATTTTGAAAAGTGAGTCAGATAAGTCAAATGTGCTGGAATGAGAATTAAAATCATGACATATACGGCGGAATGGCTCGTTTAGTTCAAAATTTGATCTACAGGATTTTAGCAGTAAAAGTCTAAGCTGCCTCGAAAGGCGAACCGGGATATTAAATTTCAGACAGGAGAAAAGAAACAAACAGTTCCATTCAAAAGTTTCACTAAGAATATTATGCCAAGCATTTCCCTACGACTAGAAAGTGTAGGTAGATTAATAAGTTTTAAACGACTAGTGTATGGAGGTAGACTTACCCTAGCATCCCATCGGAAATGCGCTGAGGCGAAAAGTAAAAATTGTTTTTGAACCGACTCTAACTTGTCAGAATGGATTTGGTAGCTAGGGTGCCATATTCCAATATAGGTCTAACCAAAGTTGTATAAAGTGTTTTAGTAATATACGGATCTCTAAATTCTTTAGACCAACGTTTAACAAAACTGAGGACAGCTTTTGCTTTCAAGACCATGGTATCAATATGAAGACTGAAATTAAGCTTAGGGTTCATATTAACTCCCAAATCAACATAATTAAAAACTTGCTCTAGAATATGGTGTTTTATTACATAAGAAGAGGGGTGCACAGATCTACGGGAAAAGCACATCGTCTTACATTTATTGAGATTCAATGGCAAATCATTTCTATCACACCATGCAACCAAATTGTTTAAGTCTGTTTGCAACAGACACCTTTCCTCAGTTGAAGTGTATGATTTAAAAAGCTTTACATCGTCAGCGTATAATAAAATTTTTGAGAATTCTATTACTGAAGAGATATCGTTAATAAACAACAAGAACAGAATCGGGCCAAGATGACTACCTTGCGGAACACCTGAAGAAACTTTAATTGTATCTGAAGGTGTACCCTCAAATATCACTCGTTGTGTTCTATTATAAAGATAGGAAGATACCCATTGAAGGAATCTTGGCTAAAAGCCCAGCAGATCAAGTTTATGTATGAGAATCGAGAGATTTACTTTATCGAAAGCTTTGCTAAAGTCTGTGTATATAACATCCGTATGCTTATGTTCCCTAAAACCCAATGATACATGGTTTACAAACTCAAGCAAGTTTGTTATATGAGATGAGATGAGGAAATTAACGGAGAAATCGAAAAGGTTATATGGTCAGTGATGATAGCTTCAACAAGTTTAGGTATAACTGATAGTTTTGCGATACCTCTATAGTTTTCAATGTTGGATCTAATTCCACTTTTATGCAAAGGGATTATAAATGACTGTTTCCATATTGAAGGAAATATACCGTGTTTAAGAGAGGAATTAAATATCCTTGTCAAAGGCAAGTAAATATATTTGGCACTATTTTTTAGGAACCATGAGGTTATCATGTCTGGACCATAACTAAAAGATGGTTTTAACTTATTTAAATTAAATAGGACGTCTTCTTCAGAAATAATTGGAGCGTTAATTAAAGTATTCGAACACAGCACTTGCTGATAAGAAAAAGTTTTGGAAGAATTATTACAGTAGTTTGACTTGAAAAATTCTGCAAACATATTGGATATAATATCATTGTCACTTGAAATGATAGATTTGTATTTCATTGCATTGGAAATTTGGAAATCCTGCGTTTGGAGTTGACGAAATCATAAAACGATTTTGGATTACTTACTATATTTTTTTTTACTTTATTTAAGTAATTATTATTCGTCGCAACTGAGCTACAACTTCAGAAGATGAGAAGTTCGGATGGCAAGTGTAATGTCATCACAAAAAGTAACTCGGCCGTCGATGTAATATCCCGTTTGAAAAAGCAGCGTAGTCCCAACTGCAATGCTCCATGTCGTGACAAAGTATGGCTGACTTGAGGTTTTGGTGGCAACGTTCGACGATGCCGCTGGTTTGTCGATGCGAAGACGTAGTCCGTAGCTGTTAACGCCTATACTTTGAAGTTTCAAAGCCGCTGATGAAGCGTTCGCTCATCATCTTTGATGTTGAACATGTACCGAGGTGCGAAATACTATGCGTTGCCTAAAGTACTGCTTGGCGGAATCATTTGGTAATGAAAAGTTCGGATGCGATCGGTCGAAATATCACAGTTCAAAGTTGTTCTAGAAGAAAGAGCATACGTAATTAGTTTCAAAGAATGTTTTACTTGCCCAACGAGATATGATTAGAGCTTTTCGTCTGTCACTGGATCATTGTCATAGTTAATTGTTTGAAGAGCTACCTCCAAAGGTAGAGTTACTATGCTTTTTAGAATTACAATAAACCCCGAAATGAGTGGCAGTGCCGCTAATTAAATTTACTATTTTTTAAATACAATTAATTTTATTACTAAAACTACATGATTTGAGGTACTAGACTTTGAGATTAAAGAAATATTTATATTCTTCAGATAAAAGGTAGATTTGTTATTCGTATTTTAAATATAACAGAAAACCAATTTGGAAAATCATTCCAAATTCGCTTACATTCGTTTCTAGCTGTGAGAAATCGCTTTAAATGAGAGAAAAAATCAAGTATAGCTCTGTGTTGTATTGAAGATTTAGGAACAAATGTTGAGTTCATTAGATTAGTCTTAATAGTAAAGTCCCTTTCTTCAGCTGTATACGTATTTACTGTATTTGATAAAAAGTGGTTCAACTGAGAGTATTTACAAGAAAGCAATGCTAGGGCTAATGTTTTTTGTATAGCATGTTCAGTGAGCGCTTCGAACTGTATATATTACAGATAATAGACCGAAGAGAAAATCAGCTGCTTCCAGTTTTGACTGTTAAAAATCAGTCAGACGGCGAATCAGCAGAAGATCGCACAAATTACGTAAATCGGTTTTCCGTATTTTACAGTATTCTTAAGTAGCAGGAACTCCAATATATTATATATGTTCAAGAAATAGATGAAACCGTGATGTAAATAAATCTGGAGAACTAGAATATACTTTAAAACACCAGAAACTTTTTATAGAACGGTTGACCTGATTTATAAAATAAAATAAAATAATTAATTTATACATCAGTATCCGAATATAAAGTAAAGTAATTATTTTTTTATAACTTAAGCTAAGAAAGCAGGGTATTGTTTTGTAAATGATTTGTAACATTTTGAGTGTGCACTTTTCTGCCAAATATTCTTAATTTGTAAATATAATAATGCAAAGTGACCATTGTGGCCGGACAAATATCCGAAAACAAAATAGCTTCTGGTGATAATGTCTTCGTGGTAGCCTGAAAAAAAATTAATTTTTATGTGGCCTAGTTTCGAGTAATATTTTCAAAACAACTTATTTACATTGATTTCATAAAAAGAGCGAGACACAAACCATTGCTCTTTTTCCGGTGACAACTCTGTTAGATAATCTTCAGGAGGGAAAGGTATAAAACGCTGACGTCCCACAGCGTCTCGACTATCACCATCAATCACGCCTAAATTTTTTAGACATTTTCCCATTTCTTCACTGGCGTAAACGCTATCGTTCGGATTGCAAAGGCTGGAGTTAGTGAAACCTTCGACAACTAGTCGCCGCAAGGCCTCATGGCTGAGCACTATGCCGCCATGCATATAAGTCTATGAGAAGGATATCGTACAACTTAAACATGTTGAGCTTTTTGAGCTTAAAGATGTAAGTATATTTACCTGATTATCGTTATCCCTCATCTTGCAGCCAAAGTTAATGGGCTCATCTGGGGAGTAAGGTTTCAGCATTTTGCGTAAATTTTCCAAAACTACATAACTATAAATAAGTAAATACATAAAATATAATTCATTAATTAATACCAAACTAAGTTTTGGATTATACCTATGATTGAGATTGAATATAAAATTATATGCTCAATGCAAAAGGCCGTATTACTACATACATTACTTAACCAAAAATAAGTCGAGTTGCTATGTCATGATAGAAAGGGAGATTACGAATTGTAAGAACAATTACTATAAATTTAGAACCATTCTGAGGAGCAGAGCAGTAGACTATGAACTGAGTGTGGCGTTTAGCAGCGCTTATTCGGGAGCAACTAAGGTTTGTTTTTAGAAACGACTGACGCTTCTCCTTTACTTTTGTACCGTTTTTTGTCAAATTTAATATTAGTATTTTATCCGTACATAACTAAAGATAATGCTGTCGTTGGCGTCACTATGTAACGAAATGGTAGAAAGTTGTAAAATTTTTTGTTAAAATTATTTTCTAAAACTGTACATGGCGACGATAAATGTTCCTTTTAATTTTAAACCCCTGAGGATAAAAATTGACTCGGAACTTTGACAATGCCAGTCATGAGTTTATCTATATTAGAAAAACCACATTCAGTAAACAAACAATTTTTGATTTCCAAAACTAGACAATGTTAATGGTTCAGCTCTCTTTTTTTCCATTTTTTAACCCAGAAGTCAATTTGGATTAAAATAACTTTCATTCCTTATTTTTGTGAATATTATCATCTTCTCAGAGATTTTTTATTCTCCCAGGTTGCTGTGAAATTTTTATGAAATAATCCTTAGTATACTTTCCATCCATGTACATAAAGAACGATCTTCTTCGGTTTATGTGTTTCTCTTACTTGTTATCGTATACTATTAGCAGCCAATCGAGGTTATTCGCATAATATTGATGCACATGAAATAAGCTGATTTTCATGGTACCCCAACGATCGCGATATTTAACCAGCAACGGTTCCAGTACGGCGTGTATATCATTGCTTACGAATAAATAACGATCACAATTCTTAATCCAAGTGGATTGGCCGTGAACAGCAATATAGTTATTCCCATACTCATTGGTGAAGATTAGACAAAATATACAAGTTCGGGTAACATTTGGAACCTCCGATATAGATTCGCCGATATTAGACTTGAGGTTAAGTAAGCGCGTGAAATCGGTTTGAAAGAAATTAAAGCACAACAAAAATACTAACGAAATTTTCACTAAAATCTTTAAACTTTCATACAAGTCGATGAAATAAGACCTCCATGTGGGCTCGCGCACCGAACACTTCTTTTCCATTTCCAACAATCAAGATTTCACTTAGAGTAATGACGTCTGCCGTTGCACTCTCAGCGGTAAATGCTGTTGAGTGAATGTAGACCGAAGGGTCGTGATCTTGCCAAATAGACTCGAACGTATCTACAATTCCTTATCGGAAATGTTTTTGACAAATCTACATGTTATGGTGTCGTGTACATATGTTTCACTTTCTGCACACCAAACTCCACGACCAAGAGCAATTGTTGCTTAGATTTTCAATTATTTATAAAAAATTTTTATCGTTTATAGGTACATATACGAGTATATCAAATTTGATTTTTATTTTGTATTTTACTACTTGGTATTTAATTGCCTACATTTTTTAGAAATACAAGTATAACTTGCATATATTTATATAAGGTCTAGTGAAATGGAATCTATTATTTTTCCAATAAATGGCTTTATTAATCTGTATCTCACGTTGTATAATAGGGATCGGGTTATGCTATTCGTCGTTAGAAGGATAAGATTTCGTACTAATAAAGGCTTCTCAGACAGTTTCTTGATTGTTTGAGCACACGTCCAAGATCGGAGCATCAGCAAAGAGAAAATACTCCATATTTTACTATTGTAGTGTTTATGGAATTGATACTTTAACAGACAATCACGCGCAACTTTGCTTTCAGCGATTCCGTTCTGGTAATTGTAATGTCAAAGATGAATAATGCTCTGGAAAGCTTATTGTCGAATATATCGATAAAATAATGGAAATCGTTGAGTTCAAACATCGTGTGAGCACTGTGCTAACGAAATGTTTCCGATTGTCCAGAAGCTAAACATTGCACAAATACACGTTTCGAACCATATAAACAAGGCTGGATACAATCTTAAAAAAAAAGAAACAAATGGCTCCTTTTGATGAATCAGGAAGGTTTTGCTACGGTGGGTTTAGTACGAAATTTTCTATTAAAAGCTGCTCCGTGTCAGTGATTGGACCCTTTTAAGAAATTGGGTTCCATGAGGACAATATCAGGCCAAACACATCGATATGTTTTTATGCAATCACCTCACAGTCCGACTTTCGAACCCGGTGATTAATATCAGTTCCTGTCAATGGTGAATGAATGGGAATTATTACTTTCTAAGTCTTTTGCCAATAGGGACGTGGATTTCCTCGAGATTGAAATATTAAAATAACTTCAAAATGGCCACAAGTGATTGAATAAGGACGGTGCATATTTCACCTAAGGCGAATAAATCCAATTATGCTATATAAAACTCTCAAATCCATAGTGAGCTCTTTTAAAATAGTTTAATTTAATGCCTAATGTGATAGTCCGAAACCCTTATTAAAACAAACAGGTAGAAACTTTCAAAAATTCATATATATACATATAAATATAAAAAATTATGTATAACTATATACAAATGTAAGTATACATACTATAATTGAATTGATAGATTTGTTTAGCGAATAAAATTGTGGACACCGTAGCTGATCGTATGCACTAAAAATTAACACCCTCAAAGCAACGCACCTTATCTTTTTTTCTTATATCTTCTTAGAGATATTTTAGCCCGGATATAGTGTATTATTTGCCTCCGCAGCGTGTTGTCATGAGCCGCTTTAAAAGATAATTTTATGCCATTTATGATTTGAATAAAATATTGGCCAAATTGCTACCATGGCTGCGTTTGCATATATCAATTTGTTTACGCCAATTTTCGATAATCCGGTACAGCATTTTGACTGGTATTTCGACCATAGGCGCTGAATGTTGTCTTCAACTTCCTCGAGCGTTGCTGGATGATTGGTGTAAACCTTTGATTTAACATGCCCCAGAGAAAATAATTTAAAGACGTGAAACATGAGCCGGTGTACACTCTTTTTGGAAATAGATTTCATCAAGTTCCAGCAAAGTTCCTGTTATAACGCTCGCTATTGATGGTAACGGCACTTTTTGCCTAATTTCAGATATACTTGTACAACCTGAACCACACGAGGATTTGACACACCCCAATGGGAAAAATTTTGTTTGTAGACGAAGCAATTAAGTCAGTAATGGGCATCATCTGAGAAGATGATTTTTTGGATTTCCGGATTTTCCGGAGAACGTGAATCTTGGACCAAAGTGAAACGTGACATGATGAAATGGCAAAGCTTTCCGAACACACTGACAGTATTTGACGCAAGTCCGTAAACAAATAGCGCTGCGAAATAATCGATGAGATTAGACTAGACTTACCAACAAATTAATAATATTTAATGCCAAAATGAAGTCTAATTTTAGATAACATGGTAGCACTTAAGATAATCTTTTCATTATTGGCTTGGTTGGGCGCATATGGTTAAATTTTTTGAAATAATATACAAGTTATTAAATTTAACTATTTTTATACTCTCGCAACCTGTTTTTGTTCACCTAACGGTTGTTTGTATCACCTAAAACTAATCGAGTTAGATATAGGGTTATATATATATAAATGATCAGGACGAAGAGACGAGTTGAAATCCGGGTGACTGTCTGTCCGTCCGTGCAAGCTCTAACTTGAGAAAAAATTGAGATATCTTTATGAAACTTGGTAGCTAATGCTATAATAATAAAATTCACTGGAAGCAAATGTTTTTAGTACCTCTATCTACACTGTGAAAATGGGTGAAATCGGGTGGCAACTCCGCCCACTCCCCATATAACGGTGCTGTTAACAACTACTAAAAGCGCGATAAATCAAGCACTAAACACGCCAGAAACATTAAATTTTATCTCTGGGATGGTATGAGATGACTTTATAGGAACCGCGTTCAAAATTATACAGTGGGCGTGGCACCGCCCACTTTTAGGGGAAAACCCATATCTTGGGATCTGATTATATTTCTATGTTATAGTGCGAAAATGGGCGAAATCGGACTATAACCACGCCTATTTCCCATATAACACCATTTTCAATTCCATCTGATTCTTTCACTTGCCACTATGCATATCAAGCAACAATGATTATATCGGGGTATAACTTTGCGTGAATAATATGTTTAAAGTATGCCACCTTGTGACCAAAAATTGTCTAAATCGAACCAAAACTGTTCAAGCCCCTAGGTACTGAATATGTGGACCACAGTGCCTATAGTTGACCTTCTACCGAAAATATCGGTCGATCCACAAACGAGTATACGATTTGACTTTGCGAGAGTATAAAATTTTCGGTTACATCCGAACTTAGCCCTTCCTTACTTGTTTATACTTTAATTATATGTTAGATGAGTTAGAAGGAACGTTACGGCAATATTTACAATTTCTATCGTTTTGAAGTGCCGGCTGCGCATACCCGCTTATTCATACAGAATCAGAATTTTTGACGCCAAGGAGTTCCACTATTTTAATAAGAATTCAACAAGTAGCTTATTGTGGAATAAACTACTCAACCTAAATGTATTACAAGTATAAATTGTTAAAAAAATTTACCTTTTGAGCTGATGATTTAGCGATAAGAGCAGTTTATATAGTATTGTTCATGTTTTGTTTTATAAATAAATCCAAAGTTTATTTTATAACAAGTAAAGAAGGGCTCAGTTCGAGTATAACCGAACTTGTCATAATCTTGCAACTTGCAATGAATAAATCTGGGGAAATTCCTTAAATTAATTAATTTTATAAATAAAGGGTGATATGATTTAAAAAAAAAACCCACACGCACACACAAATTGCTAAGGAAATTCAAATGTTTATTATTTAATGTGAAATACAATCTATACAATTAAATTCTGAATATAACATCATTCAAATGGCCTCGATGACTTCTTTTGCAGGAACGAATTTGTTGAATCTAATTTTCGAGTACTTTTTCCACGTTCAATATTGACTTCTAAAGCTTGAAGAGAATCTGGTTTATTGCTAAAGACCAATGACTTCAAATAACTCCACAAGAAGTGGTTTAATGGTGTTAAATCACAACTTTTTGGAGGCAATATTTCGGTTGTTGCACGTGCTGTGTGTTGTTTATCATCGATCTACACCGCTCTCCATTGACAGTAACGGTTTCATCAGCTTTATTTCGAAAGAAGTACGGACCGATGATTCCATCAGACCAAAAACCACACCCTATTGTCAATTTAGATGAATGTAATGGTTGTTCATGAATGATTTGGGGATTTTCTTCGCACCAGAATCGACATAGAGATAGGGATAGTATTGAGCCACTTTTATCCATTTTTGTTATTACCATAGAAAAAGATGATCTCTAACTTAACTCACATCACAAATATATGCGGGATAATGTCAACTGGATGTTTTAAAATCTTGATATTAGTTATATGGCGTATGGGGCTAGTTTTAAGCCGATTTTTTCGATTCTATGCACAATGCTACATTGTTATAACAAAAACACACTCTTTTAATTTCATTAAAGTAAATCACATATTGACCGATATTTGCGGTATAAAGTTAGCCAAAAGTTCGAAAATTTTTCTATTAGGTATATGGGGACTAAGGGAATTATTCATCTGATTCACCCATTTTTGGCACACGGGCATATTGATATGAGATAAAGATTCTCTCTGAATTTTTATAATATATCCCACAAATTGATAATCAGCTGAATAAGCTGATAATAAGCTGACACACTTCGAAGTCAGTATTCGTGCTTAATTTGTATACTGGAAGGTGAAAGAATCAGATAGAATTTCAAATTGTGTAATATGGGAAGAAGAATTGATAATCAGCTGAATAAGCTGATAATAAGCTGACACACTTCGAAGTCAGTATTCGTGCTTAATTTGTATACTGGAAGGTGAAAGAATCAGATAGAATTTCAAATTGTGTAATATGGGAAGTAGGAGTGGTTGTAGTCCGATATCGCCTATTTTCACATTGCGCACATAAGAATGTCAGAATTATGTCACCTACCGAGTTTGGTTCAAATAGGTCGAGCGGGTACCGAGATATGGGTTTCCATCTAAATGTAGGCAGTGCCATGGACATTGTCTAATTTTGATATAACTATATATAACTATAATTTTGATATAAACTCCTTTCATACCATCTCGGTTGTAAAATTTCATCTCTATGGCGTATATATTTATATATTTATCGCGCTTTTTTTAGATTTAAC